TCTTTTTGACTTAAGCAAACCAGCTCTATCCCTCAAACTCTCCCAAACAATTTGGTCGACTGCATGATCCCACGACTCTTCTCAATGAGCCCTCCACATGCAGCCACTCAGTTCTGGGGGTCTAAAATCATGGCCAACATGCCATGCTGATGTGAGATATTAAAGCATCTTTTGACTTAGCCTGTGGTTTCATTTATGAAGAATGGTGCAGGAACAGGAAAAAAAAAAAGAAAAAAGAAAAAAGAAAAAAAAAAAAAAAGTACCCATGGTAGAGTTTGGCAGGAAAATGTGGAAGCAGATTTGAGCAAAATAAGATAGTTTGGAAGAGTGTTGGGGAACTTCTTCAGATCCAAAAAACGTGAAATTTCCAAAAACTCCTTTTCCATTATACAAATCCATCATCATAATTAAAAACAAATCAGTGGAAATTTCTACACTCATAATAAACTTGATTGAAGCCATCGACGATTCCTCAGGTAGAAAGCCAAACACAGCCATAGCACAGCTGAAGCAACTCACCGGAAAAAGAATCTGGAGCATAAATAAATGAGAAATACCCAACAGAAAGACAGTGTATAGAAAAACATCCGCACAGTCCAATACTTTCAGAGATTTTATTTATAGAACTGTCATTTTAATTTGGCACATAGTAGGAAAACGGGAACACAATTTGGTGGGACAAGAGGAAAAATGCCAGTGTTGGTGGTTGTTTGAGGGGAGGAAGAGGAACACAAATTACAAATTAGGAGCAACCATGGCTGAGAACAGTATAATATGAAGGTAGGCTCTTATCAGCTGCAGACCACAAAGAAACGAAAAAAATTTGAATCTTAAGCTACTTGGATGATGTTTCCATCTAGTAATGTAGGCAGAAATAAGCCACCAGACATGAGTTTAACACAACCCAGGGTGTTTGTTCTGTTGGCAGAAGCTGAACTCTTCCCAACTTCGCTTAGCTTTCTGTTTGCATCATGTCCGGCTTGCTTCTGCTCTCACAGACATCAGTGGGAAGATACTTCAGGCCTTTCGCAGTGAGCCAGTGGAACCCTTCCTAAGCAACACAGCTCTGCACCCAAGGGAACAGATAGGCCAAATGGTTGTAATGTTTCACCAGAAAACAATTTTATTTCCCTCATTTTAAAATAGTTCAATTTCTTCCTAAACCATTTATATCTTTTCTGCATGTTCTGCTGCCAATCATGTGGAATCTGCTGCCAATCATTCTCTTCAAGCTGCCTTTGTTTTTCTGGTATCTATCACTATCCATCATTTTTTGTTGGGTCAGCACCTTTGACGTTGGTCCCAAATATTACCAGCTTCAGGATAAAATACACTTGTGAGTTTGTTGCTGTTGTCCTCTCATCCAGAAGCTTCTACCTTTGATCCCTTGTCTTTCTTGTTCACATGGGTTAAGAAGCAAGGATCAAGAAAGCACAGACAAAGAACAGCAAAAAGAGCAAAGTGGCTACCCACTAACATCAGAAAACCACAAAGCATAAGGCTTCAGCAGCCCCGTGGTATGAACTGCGAGTGGCATTACCAGCATGAGAGGTGGGAAGACCCTCACAGCAGGTGCTGGCACCCCACTGTAACACACACCCCACAGAAGGTCTCAGACCTCAGTTACTACCAGCTTGTCCCAGCAGCTTATGTTATGGTGAACTGCATTCAGAGCTGTTTTGTCATGGAGGGTGGCAGGGCAGAAGACAGAGTATGAATATTTTGGCAATTTTTAATTCATAATTGTGTCCATGGACCTCAGTCTGTATGACAGAGCTGAAATAAGGCTTGGTTTGATTGGCCTGTAAAGAAGCTGTTCAAGCTTTCTAGGTTAAAGATATTTCCCCCTCACCCTGCCAGAGCCTACAATCACACAGACATTTATCAGATTAGTTTAATCTCAATAGTATGATTATCTAAACTCTGAAAGGGTAATCAAAATGTAACTTAAATCAAGAGATCAAAACAAGTATTCTCTGCTACGATTTCCCCAAAGTCACCTGCCCTTTTCCCCTCTGTTTTTTCTACTTAGGAAATTTGACCCCCAAAGCAGGAGGGAAAAAAAGGGATGTAAGCCAGCAGACACCCAGCATAAGCAAGTCCCTTCACACTGCAACCCTCTGAGGAGTGCAGAGCACTTGTTCTGTGTGATTAGGGCAGGAGCATGCAGCACCACACCACTGCTATGCAACTCCAACAGATAAGATGATACTACAAGGATGTCAAGATCTATGTTTATCAACAAAAAAGCAGAGAGGAACTCCAGTGCTGACTGCACCCAATATCTGATCTCCAACAACTGGCAATTTAAATAATAATAAAAATCTCATACATAAAGCCAGTTTGAAAATTTCTGTTCTTAATGACTGTACAGGAAAAGCAATTATATGAACTGTCGCAACAATCTGCATGGTTCATTCATCATCCAAGTAAGCTATCTCTGCTCACTGCTTTCATTATTGCTTTGCACTCTGTAGCTTTAAGTGCTGTTCATCCTGATCTGTCTGTAAAAGCTTAGCAAATAGGTTAAATTCAAAACCAATTGAGTACAATATTCAATCTTCCTATTTGTGTCCATTTATTCAGGAAACACTCATTCAAGAGATGTGTGTCAAGACTTACGGTACAGCACTAGGTATCATCTGTGCTACCATCCAATCTTTTTAGCAGAATGAAAAAGAGAAAATATGTATGACTTCAGAATAATTTCACTTATAATTCACATAATCATAATCACTCAAACAAAAAAAAATTACCATCTGAAAACCAATGTTAAAATAATGCATTCTCTCACTTTCCTTGTTTGGTCCTGGGACAGTACCATAACGTTGTTTTGTTGTTGGTTTTTTTTTTGTTTGTTTGTTTGTTTTAATTACTATTTTTTGAAAATATACCTCTGTAGGACTCACATACACTGAGCAATTGTTTAAAGTAACAAAACCACAGGGCTTGGAAAGGGCATGAAGAGATCACTGAGTCCAACACCCCTGCTAAAGCAGGTTCCCTACAATAGGTCACACAAGTAGGCATCCAGATGGGTCATTAATATCTCCACAGAAGGAGAATGCACAACCTCTCTGAGCAGCCTGTTCCAGTGCTCTGTCATCTTTACTGTAAAGAAGTTCTTCTGCATGATAGTATAGAACTTCCAATGTTCAAGTTTTAGGCCATTACTCTTTGTCCTATTACTACGTAACACTGAGAATAGCCTGGCCTTGTCCGTTTGCTTCCCACCTCCCTTTAGGTATTTAAAAACATTTACCAGATCCTCTCTCAGTCTTCTTTTCCCCAGGCTGAGACCCAGATGACACAGCCTTTCCTCATACAGAAGATGCTCCAGGCCCTTCATCATCTCTGTGGCCTTCTACTGGACTCATTCTAGGAGATCCCTGTCTTTTTAGAACTGGGGAGCCCAGAACTGGACACAGCACACTAACTGCGGCCTTGTCACAAAGCGGAGGAGGATCACCTCCCTCAACCTGGTGGCCATGCTCTTTTTAACGCACCCCAGAGAAACCCCAGAGATGCATTTCAGCCATCCTGCAAAATATTTTAGAATTGAGTGTAAGTATGGTCAAATAAACAGGTGTACAGAATTAACAAGATATAAACAAAGTACACTGGCACATGTGTAACCCACAAGCACTTCTGAACACCTGCTATTCTATGCCAGAGTTGCATTTACATCAGAACCACGTATTTACCCGAGGCCCATATATGCTCTCATTCAGGCAGCTTCTCTTTCAGTCAAACTGGGAGTTGGAAGCTGTCCAGCTGTGCTAGAGGTGACTAAATGGGGACTTCACTCCCACCTTTCCTGTACTAGCAGATGAAATGAGACTGGGTCAAAAAGAGGCCAGAAGTGGAAACGTATCAAACACTGTGGTTGCATCTAACAAAGCAATTTAGAATACAAGCAGATCTGAACAAGCAAACATCTTCCTGATGAAAACCTAGGTATTTTTGCCGGCATAGGGGAGAAAGGAAACGAGAACTGGGGCTCTTCTTCATACCATTTTTAGCTTCCTAAGGAAAAATAATTCAGGCAAACACTGTATGCCTTCAACTAAAATGCCAGTAAGCTCTTTTACAATACGTAATGCTATTCTTCATTTCTATGCCGAAGCTAAGCCTGCTCACAACTTACGCAAGCAAGTGATAGAATCCCAAATTAAAAGCAGTTACATTTTCACAAGGTAAATGTACACATGCTTTCAATCTGAATCTAAAACAATCACACCTTCTACAAACATTAATTATCCTAAATATTGTGCATCCAAGCTCTGTGACACACTCAAATTTTAACACCAGGCCAATTGTGGCTATTTCTCATCCTTATAATTTAATCCAAACTCTTTAATTACCAAGTAGAAAAGCTTTTTTTTTTTTTTTTTTTTTTTAAAAAAAAAAAAATTATTGTTAGGCTTCAAGCCACTTCTATCAGCATGAGGTGGGAGTGGGGGGTAGGGGGGAGGTGGGAAGCTGCAATCATCTTGTAAAACATTACTAACGCCTTGGTAAATACCTGGACTTTTATTTTTCATTGAGGTTTGGAAGCTCAACAAAGTTTTGTTGAAAAATATCAGCCTCTTTTCTAAAGGGGTGTATTCACTTATCCATCATAGCATATACAGCTGTTCATTAAACTTAACTTGGAAATTAAGTTGCTTCATATATTACCTACATGTGTAAAAGCGATGCACAAATAGCAGCAATAGTATCAATTTTGGGGAAAAAAAAAATCAGAAGAAAATCTACCCGTACCAAAAGGCTAGTGAGACTAAGCAATCAGTCTACCCTGCCAGTAAGTTAACAACATAAAAGTCTGTATCTGTAATTATGCAACATCTGAGGAGGTCTTTTGGAAACATGAATGCAAGCAAGAAGAACATTGAAAGACGTATTGTCGCATATCCCCCAGCTGGCATAAGGAGAAAAACCTCTTTTTGATCAGAACAGCAGGATGGTGAAAGAAGATGAAAACAAACATGAGAATTTGGTTTAGAAAGCCAAACTGAAACACCTTTTTTATTTTTTAATTAAGTATTTGTATTTGTATTAATTATTTTAGTTTTTGTGAGAAGAAACAGGAACCTACTGATAATTATAACAGGTTTGTTTTAACTTTCTGAAATCCTTCAGAGGGGTGCACAGAACAACAAAACCAATGTAGACAGAACCCTACCTATTTTAGAGATACTCTAAAATTCAGCACTTAGTATCAAAGGGCCCACATTCTACATGCAAGTTGGACTCACAAAGAGCATTTTTCAGTAAGGTTTTGTGGACTTCAAGTGCCATTTGTTCTTCAAGCTTGCTTGAATAGACTCAAGTTAACAGAAAACAGTCTACGTATGTATAAATTAAGTAACCATAAGTAATTTGGGATGGCTCAAGAACTTACAGCAGAAAAGAATGTCCCTTAATCTAAGAAGACAGAAAGTCACTTTGGGAGGTTCTAGAAAAAAAAAAAAAAATGCTACTTTTAGCTCATGTTGTAAAGGGAATCAACCAATCAGCCATTCCATATGAGTGTGGCTCTACTGAAAGATAGAAAAAAACAAACAAACAAACAAACAATGAAGAGGTACTGAAGAGGATGCTTCTGTAAGTACAAACACCAAGTGATGAACAAGACCTACATCAGAGGAAAACCTAGCATGCATCTTCAACACTGTACAGAGAAGTCATCAAGGACAAGAATTAACAGTTAAAAACTATACAAGGAAGCATTGCTTTCTTCTAAAAAGGTATATGGAAATAATTTCACTAATAAATAAAACACTGACATTCACAACTCATATGAATTAAACTGGTCTAAATCTTCAGGAGAAAGTGAAAATAGTACAGAACGTTTTTTGTTTTTTTTTTTTTTTTATTTTCCTCTTCAAAAGCAGAAAGAGTGCCCTCTATCAAAAGATAGACTGTTGCAGCATATAAATTTGTGTCAATCTTCTTGTGCTTTCTGTTCAGGGGATAGAGAACACAGGGTCATCTTTCCTATTAGATTGTTTACAGTTATCAAACACCTACATAAATCAATCTTTGTTTCTACTTAATTCATTAAGGAGTCTCTAAAACTACAGTAACATGATGTAAAAGTTTCCAAGCAATTCCTGTGAGAACTACTTAAGTTATTTTATGAATCAATTTGGATTTCTCTTTAATTCTCCTATGTTCACAACTATGAAACGTATATGCTCCTTGAATGTAAGAACTGCATGAAAATGGTCCAAAAGAAAAAAAAGACACGGAAACTGAGGTGTGAGGCAGTCAGTCCTCTTCCTACTTCTGCTTATTATTATTATTGTTGATTTTTTTTTTTAAATACCATCACTGAGATAACCCAATGCATGATACAGTCCCCACATCCTCACCAAACTGCTTTGCTGTTCATCTTTCCCAGCAAGTTTTCAAACCTGCTTCTCTAGACAGAGCATCTGGAGGCTACAAAAGCATGACTTGTATTTCTCCATCAACCACATTTATTTGTGTGATGTTTTTTCCAGATCTGGAAGTTTTTCAATTAGTGCTTTATGGTCCATGTTGATACTGGCTATGAGTCCTCCCTCATTGCCATCTGAGCCAGTGTAACTAATTTCTTCACCCGTCAGAGTAGTCATGTGGCCACCCAATGCTCTCAACACTGCATTTCCAGCACATATGTCCCACTTCTTAATATAGGTGACATGGATATACACATCAGCTTCTTCTTGATTCTTTTCAGCCACGTCAAGGAGAGCCAGCACTTTGTAACCTACAATAATTGGTCAGAATAAAAAAGTTAAACCACATTTTCCAATTCCACACAAAGGAAAAACCTAACAGTAACTGTTAATAACTTGCATATGCAAAATACAGGAAAGTGATGTCATGAAGTATATATCCTGCCAGTGCACTACAACACTGAAAGCACCAATAAACCTGCCTGCCATCTAACCTATACAGAAAATTGAAATAAAAATCCCATAAGAACAAAAAACACTTCCTCAAGATTCTTTTAGACAGACTTTACCTATGTGTTACATAGACTTATTTAGACACATGTTAAAAGAAGTAAACTATAAACTCAAATATAGTTTTGCTCTTACATTCAAATATTTATTCCCTGATCACTATATTACAGTGAAGTCTACTTCTTTTTCTGGCTTTTTATTACAAGAAAGATGCATAGATATACACCACTCTGTCACAGCAACTTAGTCCAGGGCCATTTATGTCTATCATAGTACAAAGTTATTGCTTAAAATAGCATTCTTTTCTTTATTTTACAGAGATTTTTTTTTTTTTTTTATTCAACCAATCATTTTTTGTTTTGTTAAACTTTTTCTCATTTGCAGAGTTAAGCCCAGGCCCAATATTATCAGCTGCACTTTCATCACCTCTGTCATAAGAAAATTGATTTAGATTCACTGTCAAGAGCCTAAACAAGATCATCTTCTCCAGCTTTCCACATTAAAGACTTAAAAAGACACATTTCTGTAAAATTCAAATTTTGTATGGATTTTGGAGATCTAAAAACATCCATTGCTTTACACTAGTGAAGCAATATATTGCATATATTTGCATTATGCCAGTAAAATGCAAAAGGATATTGCGTAAGGTTATGAAACATAGCTAAAAACTCCTCAGACTGAATGCAGGACAGATAGCAATGGTCTTCAGTTACAACACTTTCCTATTTCCTGATGTAAATGAAAGCAATAGTATCAATCTTTAATGGCTTTTTCTTGTAACACTGTCTAATTAATGTACTATTAGTTATCTAGGAACCAGCTGATTCTCTTCCATGATTCTTTACTTGGTCACACATTCTTTTACCTTCCACAAAGGCATCAGCACTTTCAGTGAATGTATACCAATGTTCAACAGGACCAAAACAGAACACTCTGGTCCAGGGCTAGATACACACAAACTGCCTGAAGCAGGTTTGCATTCAGGTTTCTATAGTCAAGAGATACTGTGTCCCTACTGCAGAGCGCTTGCTTCTGGGAACATGAACAAAAGAGGAGAAAGAACTCATGTCACACTAATTTCCTTTTGTCTAATAATGGCTACCCCTTCAAATAGTTTGAAAGCAATAAAATTGATAGAACGTTTAAAGAACCAAACCTGCTCCTCCAGCGGGGATTATCACAGTCTTATTTCCAAAAGTCTGCCGTGCAACTTGCTCCACTTTTCCTGCGTGGGAGCGGGATACAATAATCCTTGGAGTCTTGTCATTGTAGAAGGAACGAGCTTTTACATTTGACCCACCATCCACCATTGCCCAGGCTACAAGAGAAACACAAACGTCACTTTATGAAAAGCTCTCTGTTAAGCATACAGATAAAAGAATACTCTTTGGAGAAGACTAAAGCGACTCAGTTATCCTCTGTAAGAGCAAAATTTAGGATTGACTGAGGGAAGTCCACATGTGCACAGAAGCATAAAAGAAAAAGAAACAGCTCCACACACACAGCTTTGTGCTTATGGACTACTCCTATATCATGCTTTTAAGTGCACAATAAGGCGGAAAAAATCCCAAAAATAGCTCGCAACTGAAAAATCATTAAAGTTAGAAGACATTTCTGAGGCAGATCTAGATCCAATTTTTCCTCAAACAATTCTTCAGTAAAAACCAAAAACATTCTTCAGTAAAAACCAAAAACGACCCTTCAAAAAAGACAGCAAAAATGTTACCTTATGTTCTACTGCTACAAAGGATAATCATACTAAAGAAGGAAGTGAAAACATTTGATAGTGCATTTTGGAGGACTGGTTTTATTATATGCAACCTACTACTTATTTCATCATGCAATTCAAAGCCAAGCTTCGTAGGTGGCATCTCCTAACCATTAATTTGACATTTACTTAGCAGACTAACCAGCAATTGCATCTCAGTAGAGGACCACATTATACAGCAACAGACTGAGCTGTGTGTAATGACAACAGTGACTTTTTCATTGCTTTGTATTGGTGTGGTACTATTAGGAACAATTCCACTCACAGCATGCTGTTACTTCCAGCTTGGAAAATGAAAACTCTTCACACAGAATGACAGAATTAATTGCATTTCATCTGACACCATGTCTGAACATGTCAGACTTTTTTAAACAAGTTAAATCCTCAAGATTACAGTGCTGAAAAACATTTATTTACATACAAGTTGATACTTAGAAAATACAATCCAATAAGCCCTTCAGGATTCTTAAAGAATACCAAAATATAGCACATACTTAAACAACATAGCTTAATGGAAAACACTGCTTGTTGGACTGCATGATCTTAGAGGTCTTTTCCAATCTTGGTGATTCTATCATTCTATGACTGGTAATCAGGTTCATATTTAAAGAAGGTAAAATGTTTAGATCAAAATATTAAGTGTTCAAAAAGCACAAAAGAGAACAAAATTCATACATTAAGTCAGTTCCTGTGCAAGAACTACAACATAACAACTCTAGAGGTCAGTATTGCCTAAGGAAAAAACAAGAAGAGAAATTCTTCTTTCAAGTGTATACTATATGAGATGAGAACACTAAAACTACTTCGAAGCATTCAGAAGCACACATGGCCACAGAGTGCCAAACGTGAACTTATCTTCACTGATACCTCATTAGTACTAGTGACTTAATTAGGCCAGGAATATGCCTTAATAAAACACAACAGATACTCAATAAGGCTACCTTAGACAGTCTTGCCTGATACATAGGAACAGTTGCCATTAAGATCTTTCATTTATCTCTGGATGCAATTTCATAGACCCAAGTTCTGCTGCAGTTCTGCTAAAGACTGTTAGCACATACAAGACCAGTCAGCATGTATATAGGTTTTATTTTCTTTGGTTTCCTACAAGCACTCCTATTGAAGAAATCTTAATTGTTAAACATATTTTCCATTAGTTGTGTTTGTTTTTTTTTGTTTGTTTGTTTAATTTATTCGTTTGTTTTAAATGCATCATTTTCTATTAAACAGAGACAGCGTTTTCCTTTGGGGCCTCACAGCACACTGATAGCTCTGGATCCGAGGTCTGCAGTGCTGTTCTTTTGCACTCAAGTATTATTTTCCTCATTTATATCCAGAGATTTTCTCTCAAACATCAAATTTTAGTTAACACTATGACAGAAGAGATCAGAAATATACAAAGGGATAAAGATACCTGTATATGCCGAGAATGGCTTATGTATCACTCCTATTACTGGTTTCCCATTTACAGCCACACAAACCATTGTTGTGACATACTGCCGAAGATCCTCTGTGGGCAAAATGAAAGGAAGAAAGTTCATGGACAGATGTTCAGAATGCAGGAAAAAAAGCAGGTTGGACATGATATAAACACTGCCCTTTAAAGACTAGCCTACTTTCTAACTGGTACAATTACATAACTTTGTTTGATCTTCAAATAACTTTGTAGATAGCAAAAGATTTTACAGGCTCCCAGTTCCCCAGCAGTTTTTCTTCTTCAGTAGATGTACCTTGTGCTTATACAAGAGCCACTGCTAATAATTATCTTATGTAGTGTCTTCATAGAATCTGTGCTCTTAAATTCTCCCTGCTATGCCCCATACTCTATCTTCTACAGTTTCAAAGCTGAAACATTCAAACACTGAAGAACATTCACCTTGTAAGTGACTATATCAATAGAATATTCAGCTACCATTTCAGTTGTACTGCCTTAAGCTGCTTAAGTGACATCTTAAAACATATGAAAAAGAGAGACTGAATTATATATCCTTTTCAAAAATCGGAAACAAGAAGTCATTTTAATCAAGTTAAATATATTCATTTATTCTTTCCTTTACAGAAAGGAACAAAAAAATTCTGAGCTTAGTGTTATCACAGTAATAACTGAAATCAAGACATGCAATACCAGCAGAACCTGTAAGTGGCATTACCATCTATTTTAGTAATTACTTTGTTGCAAAGAATTCCTCAGTTATTTCAGAATTGGAACGCATAAAAGTAATGCTATGGTGTGACAGCTATACAGATTTCATTATAAAAATGTGCTCAGTGTAACACATCAGCTTTGATAGAGCACACTCTAAATACGTATCAGTATTTAGAGATGCCACTTTAAATACTTACCATTTTGCCTTTAGTAAAAAGACAAACATTAGAATTACACACCTGTGTACTCTTGTGTAGCATCTAATGGATCAATCCAGACAGTAACACTTTCTGCTGGAACCTCTTTAGGCTGTATTTTTTCTTTTATATCTTCAGGAATATTGCGATCCCAAGAGACTGTCTCCTGATCAGTTGTATCAACACGTTCCTCAGAGTTTATCTACGATAAGAAAACAAAAGCAGGTGCATTAATTTATCAGATGCAGCAACTGTAGAAGTGGAAAAGTTAGAAAATCTTGTATGCATCTGTTTCTCCCTTCACCTCAAACTACAACAGCACACACTGGTCATTTTTCAGCAACTGACAAGTTGCTAACATCATGTTACAAGTAATGAAAAATCACAATTCACAGTTTTATCGTGAACCACACCACAGTTGGACGCCATAATTCTGACTTCAACTCTTCCAATGGAGTGTTCCCATTGTAAGAATTCTATCTTTTACTCAGAATTTAAATGCAGTTGCGTCAAAGATACAAGCAGAATATTCAGTTCAGGATGCTTGTACAGTATACAGCTACAGTGGAGATCTAATACTGTACTTACACTGACCAGTAAACAAAGATTCAAGTGTACAGTTCTTATCAGTACTTTGCGGACTGTAGTATGACACGTGGGATTAAGAATCCTAGGTTATATTCCTGCTTCAGGGATTGAATAATGACTAGCAATATAAGCAGCTCAACTGGATGTAACCTTTACACAGCTGTCAGATGTGTTTTATTTTATAAACAAGTCAGTAACATTCCTCATCTGTCTTTAGGGTAGATTAGGCCAAGAAACTAAGATAACCTAGAAATAACATTTATAAACAGCAGTTAATAATATTTAACCTTGTTGTCACTTGCTGTCTAGCCTACTGAATTTTATTCTTGAACACAGAGTGTTACACAGAACCATAGAATTAAATCCCTCACAGGCAGTGATATCTTCCCTCAGATCAAGCTGCCTGAGCCCCATCCGACCAAACCCTGAATGCCTCCAGAGACAGGGCATCCACAACTCTTCTGAACCTGTGCCTCACCACTCCCTAAGAATTTCCTCCTAACACCTAACTTAAATCTCCTCTTTTAGCTTAAAGCTGTTCCCTCTTGTTCTATCACTACCTGCCAGTCTGAAAAGTCAATCTCCCTCCTATTTATAAGCTCCCCTCAAGTACTGGAAGGCTACAGTGAAGTCTCCCCAGCACTTTCCCTTTTCTAGGCTGAACAAGCCCACCTCCCTCAGCCTGCCTTCATAGGAGAGGTGCTCCAGCCTTTTGATCACCTTTGTAGCCCTTCTTTGGGCCTGCTCCAACAGCTCCATGTGTTTCTTGTGCTGGGGGCCCTGGATGCAATACTCCAGATGGGGACACAGAAGGGCAAACCAGAAGGAGACGATCTCCTCCCTTGTCCTGTTGACCATCCCTTTTTTGATGCAGATCAGGGTACAGTTGGCTTTCCAGGCTGCAAGCTCACACTGTTGGCTCATGTCGAGCTTTTCATCCATCAACCACGGGTTTGTCTCCATAGGGATGTTCTCAATCCACTTGTCCCAGTCCACACTGATAGTGGAGACTGCCCATTTCAGAACAGAGATCAGAGCTCTGTCCGTTAGTGCAACTCACGACCCCATTCTGCTGAAGGGATGAACATTCTGCAAAACCCAGTACTGTAATTTCAGCTGAAGTAGTAAGACAGCTTTGAGTCACAACAGATTCATCTGACACAGAATACTGTACATAATGATATCTTACACTACAAAATATATGTCCCCACAGTTCCTCATGCAGGGTTACACAGGTCAACCTGCCTCAGTTCACACTTACTAGCTTACTACAATTTCATGCATGGTTTACAGGAGAGCTGTAATATAACTGAACAAAGGTAATGCCAAATGGAATTCAAATAAATTCAACTCATTTCCTTTTAGCACCTCAGTTACATCAGGAGACTGGTACTTCTTTGTTCTTTCTACTGACAGTAAAAAGGAAGGCACTATCACTGTGCCTTTCATGCTTTAGCCTATAAGAAGCCTTCAGCAATGCATCTAATCCACTAATTATTCATTAGAACAATGAAGCTTGTTGCTCAGATGTGTTTTTTAAATGCCTAAGTGTACTCAACTTGGACTTTTAAGACATTCCAGAATATAAGAAAAGCCAGTTTAGAGGCAAGCTAAATCAAATGTAATTCTAAAATGATTTTTTTTATTGATTAGTTCTGATGTCCAGCCATGTCAAAATGTCAAGCAGACATGGGATGCGAGGTGTCTACCACTTACAGCCACCTATTTCACCTTATTGACTACAGAAGGAGTCTGCAATCATATTAGCTTGGATCCAGATATCTAACTGCTAAAGCAGATGAATATCCTTTAACTAAACAAACTTATTATAGATGTCACAGATAAGTGACACTGAAAAACAATGAAAATAAAGAAGTGATCAGATTAGGTCAGGCTGAATGGGTCTCTGAGCAACCTGATGTAGCTGTAGATGTCCCTGTCTTTGTATGGGAGTTGGGCTAATTAACTTTTAAAAGACCCTTCCAACTCAAATCATTCTTTAATTCTGCATTTGAATGTAACAGACTTTGTATCAGTAGGATTTTCACTGAATTTACTTGACAAGAAAAGACACCATACATCTCAGCTGTAACAGATTATTAGCAAAGGGTTAAAGGCCATCTTGTTCAAAAGGACTGAAAAATGAAGAAGCAAGCAAAACTTCAACATCTCCAGCCACGTCATAGCTGTCTTTTCATGTAAAACCAGTATTTGAAGCACAACACGCCAAGCAGAACCCTTGAAGTTGCCATGACATTTACAAATTAAACATCTGTCATTGTACGATCAACCTGATGATTGTGTTTTTCCCAGGGGGAACCGTTCAGCAGAGTCAAAACAAGTAGCTCCACAGACTTGGCAGGCTCAACACAACCTCCGGGCAGTTCAAGTTCTGCTATAGCATATCAGGCACCTCTATAAGAAATTGCATTTTAACAAGAAAAGAAAAAAATTGGCAACAAAATACATTTCCTCAATAGAATGCAGAACAAAGGCTGCTTCCAAAAAAGTTACTAGAGTTGGAATCAATTCTATAAAAAGGAAAGAAATATCTCGTTACACTTGTTATTACAGTAAAATTAGAGATTTGCACAGTAATAGTTGCTGAGATTTTTGGTTTCAAAGGCTAAGTTCTGGAATTAAAATGCTAGCCCAGCTGATATGAAGTACTGCGTTGCATCTTTGGAATTAAAGACACCTCCAATGCCAAATCCCATATCCACATGTGGCTGATGGTGCTGAGGATGTGGCAGTGTGAACTTCATGACTTGCATCTTTCTTTCTCTGAGATGCACCAGAGATTTCGCCCAGAGGCTGAGAAATCTCCTTCTTTGTGATATTCAGAAGCTACCCGACCATGGGCCTGGCATCCTACTCTGGGTGTCCTTACTTGAGCAGGGCTTGAGCCAGAAGGACCCTAAGGTCCCTTCTAGCCTCAGCTATTCTGTGATTCTCTGCAAGTATCTAAAAGGTACTGTTTTCAGAGAAACACCTACTACTTCAGAAATTGTGTAACTCATGATGTTGCAGCATTTATATTGCTAGTGCAGTCTCTTGCAACAGTCATAACTAATCTGCCAGAAAAAACAGTGGAAAAAAAGATAGCAGTGCCGTGGTCGTATAGACCCCGTGACACTAGTTCCATTTTCTGCTCTTCCTCTGCAAGCCACCTGAAAGAAACAGTCATCTGGGTCACTCACTCTTCTACCAGTATTACCATTTATTCTGCATCCTCGGCTCAATACAACTCATAGGCCACGCAGAAACTCACAGCCATTCCACCACCTGCATATACTAAATTTATTTATTGTTATGAAACTGTATTATAGGTCTGCATAATAATGTTGCCTTACAGAGAATCACCAGTCCTTAGTACTGGGAACTTTTGTTCTTTTACTTTAAATACAAGAGAACATACCAAGAAAACGTGCCTTTGTATTAATATGATGGCACTTTTTACTGCTTGATGTTGAGTTCCTACCTGCCATTCCTATTTGCTGGAAGCTTCCAAAGGCTGTGACCTTATATTTCAACCTTTTCTGAAGCGATATGGATATGCAGTTGACTCAACTGCCAAGTCTTCAGCTATGGTAGATTAACAACCACAGTGCTAAATGCTTTAGCACTTTTTATTTACTGTTTATTCCAGCAAGATACTCTCAAACTGTTAACATACCTAACTATAAAGTTGCAAGTTTCTACACTTGCTATCACCTACTCTTAAGAGTTCGATTTAAATAGCAATCCAGCTTACATATGTGCTTATTCCTGAAAGTCTTTTAGATCCCCCTCTGGTAATAAAGTGCTCTCAGTTCCAAATCTTGATGCTTTTTTGTTAGTAATAGAAAACAATTACTATTCCACTCAACATAAACAAGACAGTTCAGGTAACAACAAGATGTATTCATATTCTGACTTGTGAATTTGCAATTCCAAGTACAATAGTTCAAGAACAGAGCGATCAGCTGAATGGGTAACTCCTGTGATTCAAACAGGAACATGAAACAAAATGCCTAAAGACCCAGATGAAGCAGCACACAGGAGCATCAGCAAAACACTAACAGGTTCTTGACTTCACTTTTCTATTTTCTTAGGGCATTTGCTCTGCTTAACAGACACAGTCAACTCGTCAGTCATTACGCAATGTGTGCCTTACACACACTTAAGATTCAAACTGAACTTGGCCATTTGTATTCAAGTGATTCAAGTGATCAGTTACTTGGTTAGGCTTCAGAAGAGCATTCAGAGGAGAAAGGTTCCCTCAGCAGCCTTTGAGCTCCTCCATTTACCGAAGCTTCCCTTGCACAGCCACACGTCCCACCGTCACCACCCAGCTCTGAGAGGGGCATACTCCCACATACTGGAGGCTGGGCTCTTTTACCTTTGTTTGCTCAGTTGCTGACTTCTCTCTCAATTGTACTAGAGGGGAAAGCTGCCCCATTTTCTTGCATCCTGACTTACAATGAATGGAAGGTGGTAAAAACAGCAGAAATACAACAGAGGAAATTGCACGGATCACAGGAGTTACACCTGTTGAAACAACTAAAACCTAAGAACAATAAAAGTAATAAAACGTCACTCCCTCGCTAGTCCACAAATTGTTTCACTAAATTCACATTCACAGCTCTGCACAGACAGAAGTTCAACAGAAAGAAAGGAATGACCGGCTTGCTGTAAGTGCCACAGCACCACTTGTCAACCTAAGACCCCAGCCACGCAGGAGCAGAGAACAGCACGTACACAGCAGCTCCAAGGAGCTCTGTGTTCTGTGAGGCACTGCACCAGCACAGAGCTCCAGATGCTCAGCTGACAGACCAGACAGCCCTGCTGCAAGCACAGCGCTACTGGTAATTATACCTGCAAAGATATGATCACAGAGCCTGGTACCATGAAGTTGGGGGTTTAATTTCATTTTGGGTACAGACTCAGCAAGAGTCAGCGAGCATCAGGTAAAACCCATATTAAAAAGTGTATGCTCAGCCAACATCTACTGATGAGAATACAGATTAACATTCATGCTTCTTGCTTTACTTACAAATATGCTTGTAATCACTATGATCATGATGGCCAAAAGAATGTCAACTTTCTTAAAGCCCTAAGAACTAAGAATGCCTTTCTTCCAACATGAAGAAACAAATTACTGTGTTTACGCTGGAGAGCACCGAAACCCTTCTAAAATCTAAGTAGCATTTTGTTCTTAAGATCTAGTCCTTTGACATACCTATCTTACTCCACTGAATTAGTTATCAGATGCAGAGCTTGCCATCTTAGGCCCGGAAAAGAGAAGGCTCCTGATTGTGGCCTTTCAGTACCTAAAGGGGAGCTAGAGGAAAGAAGAGGACAGACTCTTTAGCAGGGTCTATGGTGATAGAACAAGGGGAAATGGCTTCAAGCTTAAAAAGGGTACATTTACTCAAGGTACATGTATTTTTATTTTATTTTATTTTTAAACAGTGAAGGCGGTAAGGCACTGGAACAGGCTGCCCATAGAGACGGCAAATGTCCCATCCCTGGAGACATTCAAGGGTAGGCTCTGGGCAATCTGATCTAACTATGCATGTCCCTGTTCACTGCAGGGGAGTTAGACTAAATGACCTTTAAGAGCCCCTTCCAGCTCTAAGGATTCCATGATTCTACTCTATTCTAAATAGATAAAAGAACCATTAGGTTCAGGGCAGCATCAAGACCAATGAAAAGATGCTTAAAGGGAAAGGCTGGGAAGAGAAGACTTGATTTCCATTATAGTCACAATAAACCAAGAAGAAAATAAGGGTATTTCTTTGCTCAATATTCAATATTCAGAAAACAAGACATACAGCTGGCACAACTACAGAGAAAAAATATCAAAGTACTGGTCAAAAATAAGCACAAACTGCCTAAGGAGGGGGAGAGATCATCTGAGTTAGCAAGACTGAAATCTGCATCCTGTGAAAGTCATGGCAGTGTAGTGCAGAAGCAAAAAAGCAGAACTACGTGTGCCACTTTAAAACTGGCTTTTTCAATGTGAGAACAGGACTTTGGCCAAAGCTCACATTTAAGGAGAATGCACCTCCCTAGTAAATCATTCCCACCCCTTTGTGCAAGTACACTGTTCCTTCTGATGTGTTGATGCAGTCTGTCAGTAGAGCCGCAATGCAAAGTGAAGCATTTAAGTATTCTTAAAGTGTTACTTATTTTACACTTTTCACCTTGGATGCATTCAGATATCAAGTTTGCAACACCAACTTCCACGCAGGCAGCACTGTTAAAACAGAATACCCTGACATGTAGTGCTCAGATAAACTCTTGTAGTGGGTAATGCTAATGAAACTCCTGAACAAGTCATCTGTTCAAACAGAGCAGATCTTCCAGGCAGAGCACATCCAGGATTCTTGACAGTTTCCAACTGGATTTGGAATCATAGGTTCTCCTCTCCACTCGCTCCATCCTTTACCAGGGCTGGCTTGAGCATCACGTTAAAGCCTTCACCCAGTTCCCAAAGCCAGTCCTTATTTCACAAATGCTGGGCAAGGAGTAAGTTGAGCTGCATGGAGAAACAACCCAAAAACCAAACAGTGAAGTAACCCAGAAAAGGTAAATAAGTAAAGTGGAAAGATTAAGAAGAGATGATTTTAGCTGGATCAGACCCCTGAGTACTTCTTAGCATGACAAGCAAATAGAAGAAGACAACATTGCTGAGGATAAATCTCAAGCCTGTGGCTGCAGTTGAAGACTTTATCAAGAGAAACCATTGTGCATATTTGACCATGAAATGCATTTTGAAGTCACCTGCACACAAGCTTCATAGGAGATGCAAATTTTCACTGCTTGCACTTGACTGCACTGAGACAACCCTGGCCAATATCTGAGTTAGAAAGGACTTGCCACCCGCCCGTGCCTTTTGTTGGGGGGTATAGCAACAATACACAGTACTGTTCCATTTCCTATGCAGTCATAAAACTGAATTGATCTGTTGCTCTTCCGTTTCATCCAACCTTGCTGCAACAGGTTTTAAATGCAAATACGTACATTTGTATCAAACAAAACTGGCGATGTAAGCAGTGGAGTTACACTGTAAATGAAAACAGCATTACTTGCAAAACATTTTCTTTATGTATTAATCATTTTTCCCCTCTTCTTCCCCTCAAATTTTGATACATATATATACATATATTTTCAAATCACAACTAAATGAATTGTGAGAATCCTCCCAGATTTATTTCAGCTTCCACATGTGAAGGTCTAGCTCTTCCTATATTCTCTTAATAACCACTCCCTAGAAGAAGTTCTACTTCAGACAGACTGCACATCTTGTGCTCTGCCAAGCAGCATGATACAGGACATCCATGACTGCTCACTGACTTCGGTTTATTTCAGTCAAATGACTTCTCCCCGTAGTTATTTTTAAACATTGGAAAGCCACAATTTATCATGAGCTTAACGTTGAGATACCCGTTAAGCTTAGAGCTTCCATGATGCAAGTAAATCAGTATTTTGCTTTACTCACAAACTTTGTTGAATTCTTTCAGTTTTTGTGTGACAGTTCTTTTGTTACCACTGTCTTCTCGAGCAAAAATAGAGAAGGGTTTCTATTTTACTTGAGCAACATTCTTTATGCCGGAGTGTCCATCTGTACCTGGAGATAAGGCTGCGGCCTTATTGCTTCACATGAAAGATGTCTCAGAAAAACTTCATATCGTTATCAACACAAATTACAGTTCTGTAAACAGTAGGAATTTAAAATAAAGGATGCAAGAGATACATAACAGAATTACTGATGAAGATGATCTTGTCTTCACACCTGAAAATTTTGTACTCTAACATGCAAATAGTTTTTTTTTTTTTTTAAAAAAAAAAAAAAAGGCTTTAGTTGGAAGGGACCTCAAAGATCATTCAGTTCCAATCCTCCTGCTGTGCATAGGGTTGCCAACCACTAAATCAGGCACCAGATCAGGTTGCTCAGAGCCCCATCCAAATTGGCCTTATACACCTTCAGGGATGGGGCATCCACAATGTACCTCTCTGTGCCAGAGCCTCACCACTTCAGCATGCTACAGCCTGAGACAGCATGTTTTACCAACATACACAGTTTGGTAGATATTTCTTACATACCTAATGAAAGAAGGTGTTATCATTCAGATCATATACTTCAAATATCCCAGAGATGACTTGTCAGAGTTAGAAACACTAAATCAGCTGAAGGATTTGTCAAACTCACTATTCCTCATCCTCTTAAACTCTCAAGCTCATTCAATCTAACGGAGTAGAGAACCAGGGAGAAGATAAAGCCATACACCTGAATTTTACCTGGTTCTGGGATGTATATAAACGTGATTGATTTCAGAATTTGTGAACATATCTGTGCTTCAGGGAGTACCATCAGTTTTTGAAGGATAGCAGAAAATGCTATCTACTTGGAAAATACAGCAAAACACTGTTTTCAAGCATGGAAAGCTCAATATTCATGTCCTTCAAGGAGAAAAGACCCATGTCAGACCGTCACCTGAGAGGGGCACACACAGGCAGCCACACACAGAGCATGCACTGCACCAAGCTCTAATCCCAAAGCAAATCCCCAGCCTTGAGTTAACACAGAAAGCCTTTATACCTACACAAAGGCAATCCCTCCTCCTACAGAGGGGTCAAAATGCGTTACTTTCAGCAGCCACACAGTCACACCATAACAATCCGGGACTTTTCCTTCAACACAGAGTTTCTTAAGGCAGCTTGTCACTAACAGACAAACCATTCACCTTCAGAGCATGGCCTGAAGGCGTGCCAATACTCTTGTAGAGAAAGATGAAGAACTTAACTCCACATCAACAATCCATAATCTGATGGTTTCACAGTGAATGTGGTCCGTACAGCACTTTACGGAGAGACACACACCCAAAGGACCCTCTAACCAGGCACTGAAAACCGACTAAATGCCTGCTTACAGGAGCTAGAAGGGCTTGGATCTCCTCACCCTCCCAACCCCTTCCTCCCACTGACGATGAGGTGGCACCGCCACAAAGTCAACCACGAAAAGAAGCGCGTTTCCTGCGCCCCGTCCCCAGCCGGACGCCGACACGTGTCGCTCCGCGAGCGGCGGCTGCACGCAGCACCCACCTACCTGCACGGCGGGAAAGGCGGCCCTCAGCAGGTGGAACATGCGGCGGTTGGACAGCAGATCGCCGCTCGTCAGCTTCTCCTCGGCCCCCTCCCGCGTCTTCCCCTTGGCCTTTTCGTTGAGCACGTTGCCATCGCGGACCCGCCGCACCTCCACGCCGCCCCGCACGGCCGCCAGCACAGACACGGCCAGCAGCTCCCGCAGGTCCACGTTGGCCGTCGAACCGCGGGATCCCTCGGGTCCGCCCGCCGCCGGCTCGCTCAGCATGAAGAAGGCGAAGCGGCCGGCCAGGAATCCGGAGTAGAGATGGTAGAGGACACCCAGCCCCAGCAGGCAGAACACGGCCATGCCGAGCGGGGAGAGGCGGATCCCCATGGGCGCCATGGCCGGGCGCAGCGGGGCGGTGCCGGGCACTTACTGCGGCCCCATGGCTCGGCTCGCTCCGCCACGGCGGGGCCGGCCGGCTCCAGCTCCCAGCGGGCTGGGGCGGAGCGGAGCCTGTCTGTATCCGGGTCGGGGGGGGCGGAGCGCCGCCGTGAGCACTGAGCATGTCTCGGCGGCCGGCCGGGGCTGGGGTTTTGCTGTGGGATCGCCTATGGGGGTCGAGGGGAGGGAGCGGTGGGGTGTGTTATGCACCTATGCTCATACCGACTTGTGTTTCTTGGAGGTGTTAAGCTTTTGGAATCACAGAATCACTGAGGTTGGAAAAGACCTCTGACTTTGTCTGGTCCGGCCATCAGCTCAACACCACCATACCTGGTAACCATAGAATCATAGAATTGCTCAGATTGGAAAAGACCTTAAAGATCATCAAGTCCAACCACAACCTAACCGTACTACCCTAACTAACAACCCTCTGCTAAATCATGTCCCTGAGCACCACATCCAAACGGTTTTTAAACACATCCAGGGGTGGTGACTCAACCACCTCTCTGCGGAGCCTATTCCAGTGCTTAACAACAATTTCTGGAAAGAAGTGTCCATGTCCCTCTGTGCCATATCTACACGTTTCTTGAACACCTCCAGGGGCGGTGACTCCGCCACTCCCCTGGGCAGCCTGTGCCAGTGCCTCTCCACCGTTTCTGTGAACAAACATTTCCTAATATCTGACCTGAATTAACAACGCGAAAGCTTAGCCCCACTGTAAGATTACCCTTGCAAGCTAAAGTTGCTGAATCATCTCCCCCTTAACTCTTCCGTTTCAACAGCACCTTCAGTTATGTGGGTGCATACGATGTGTTGCACTGTATCCAAAGTGCCACTGTGCAGGGGCTACAAACCAAAGAAAGCATTACATTTTAAATGAGATTCAAAAGAGCTGGATTTTACTCTTAGTAATGCTGGTATTTAACTTTCTAGGTTACTAGGCAATACCTGGAGTGTCCAAATTTTCCTATTTTTCTTTTCCTTTAAGACTTTTTTTTCCTGTGCAGTTGGTTCTCTAACAGAACAGCTTGAAAGAATGCCCTGTTCATTTGCCTTTTTTTGAATTCACGATTCAGCATTCAGGCTGGACGTCAGGAAATACTACTCTAAAAGAGTGGTCAGGCACTCGAATGGACTGCCCGGGGAGTGGTGGAGTCACCAACCCTGGAGGTATTCAAGGAACGTTTGGACACTGTGTTGAGGGACATGGTTTAGTGAGAACTATTGGTAGGTGGATGGACTGGGTGATCCTGTGGGTCTTTTCCAACCTTGGTGATTCTATGATTCTAATTTCATACAGTAATAATGAATGCCAATATCTACAGCAACAGTGAATATTAGGAAAGAGTAAACTTGTGTATGCAATGAACATGAGACCAGCATAGGTGGGCGTTTACATAAGTTGCTTCAAAAGTAATGCCTCCTATGGAAAATACAAAGAGGACATTTTTAATACAACAAATTCTCAGCTACAAAACACTATTTTTCTACGTAGGCACCACCATTAACTATGCACTTTCACTGGCAGTGAACAAGATCCTGTAGGCCACACTTGTAAAAATCTGCACCAGTGGAGGTGACCACTATCACAGCTGCTGTGATGGTGTCATTGCTAGGAAAATGTTGCCCACTCAGTCCATCTTTCACTGACCTGAACATACAGAAGTTAGAAGGCACTAAGTACAGGTTACTGAGTGGATATAGTAGTAAAGCACAGCCAAGATTGGCAATATGCTCCATGATCTTTGAACTGGTACCAGGTCTGATATTACAGTGTTACAAGGGAAAAGCTGTCTTCTTCTCTGGCCTGGAAGTTCAAGCCTTCAAGCTTAGTTAGTGTTGCAATGTAGCTTCAAAGCTGATGGTTTGTTCCAGGAAGTCCAGAAGGACCACCCATTTTCTATCCCAAAAGACAACGCATATCACTACCCAGTGAGGGCTGTATCTTGAACTTTCTCTTAGATGGGGAATTCACTTGTTGCTGGTCCATGGGCTGCCATTTAGACTCAGGCATGTAGTGATAACACCATGTCTCATCATCAGTGATGATACAATCCAGGAAACTATTCCCTTCAGCTGTATATTTTTTGAACAGATCCTGACAAACTTGCATATGCTGTTTTTTCTGTTCCTATGTGAGCACTCATGGGACCCACTTGGTGCAAACTTTGTGATATTCCAACATTGTCATCATTGTTTCCAGTGCACTGAAACCAATACACAGCTTGGTACACAGTTATTTGGATGTAATCTGCTGTCACCTCTGCTGAAATGCACCACCCACTGTCTCATTGCGCTCACTTCCAGTAGTTGGTCTCCATAAATGTTCAGAAAGCATTGATGAATGTCAACAAGTGACATTTTTTCTGTGCAAAGGAATTCAGTGTCACACCTTTGTTTCATATGTACTTCCACATCAGATCCCATTTTGTCAGACTGTTCTTCTGCTGCCATCTGTCACAGGCAAGAAAATGTAATCAAATATTGGTGGGAAGGTTCAATTTCTTCTGCCATACCACCAACAGCTGTCTCTGATACTGCTGGCCAACATAATAAAATAGAACACATTACTTCCAGAGCAGCCCTTATAATTTGTGTCCCTTTTAAAAATGCTGGCCAATGCAAAAGGCAGCTGCGCCCTACGATGCTGTCAGGAACTGTTCATGTGCTCCATGAACTGGAACTTCAAGCCACGGGTGGAGGAAACCTAGGGGGAGGAAAGAACCTGGCATTATTTATTTATTTATTTATTTTTAATCGCTGCTTTCTGAGCTGGTTTCTTGTTTAATGGAAAGACAGTAAAATATTCATCTTTTTAAGCCACTGAAGTTTGCAAAGACCTTTCAGAGACATTGAAAAATAAGGGAGTTATTACTTTCCGCAAAGATTTCTATGGCTGTGGTAAATATAGCTTACAAATACTGATGCTAATGTAAGCTGTGAAGTGAACAGTGCACAAAGTGCTCTTTATTTCAGTGGTACTGTATGTACTAACTGCTGGCTTTCAGCATTCACCATGTCTATTGCTGAATGCAATCACCTAACCAGTAGGCAATATGCTAGCATCCTTTTTGTCCATAACAACCTTATGTAAATCAGAGAGTACCTACGTTCGTGTGGGCACTGTGACAGCTGCAGTCTTAGCAGAAGGCTCAGTCTCATATGAAGGCATCACCCAGGTGCAGTGTATACGGGGAGCTCTGACTAGTCACTGCTGACTTTCTGTAAGCAATTTCTTCCTTCTTTCCATCTCTTTTCTGCTTACATTTCCTGCTCTTGCCAGGTAATTCTGGTTGTAACACCATCTCATCCAATCTTGTTTACAGTCGCAGCCCCAGTTCTAGTCTTTCTTATATCCTGGTTGTCTCTGTGAGATGAGAACCTCAGGAGCATTGTGCAGGGATGTACTAAACTTGAGGATTTTTAATTTTAATTTTAAGGTGTTTATTTAAAGTAGCATTTAAAATAAAACTAGAACACTGCAAAGTGTTTGAAGCACAAAGGTGAAACAAACAGGACAAAGAATATGGACATACGTCTCTGTTTTAGAGTGTATCCCAAATAGAAATGAGCTAATGCTTCTGCACTTTTGCTGTCCACTCTTGCTCAACCAGGTTCCCTGATTGCTGCAGCTCATGACTTATGAGGACAGGTAGAGTGACTGCCTTGGCTTAAGGAGTTACCCACAGTCACTCTGCAAGGAAGTCTGCTATATCAGGAAATATAATATCAACCAAGGTACAGTATGATTTCATAGATCATAATATGTTAGGTGAGATCAAATGTGCAACTGTAGTCCATTAAGACGGATGGGTTATGTGATGTCTTGCTCAGTTTTATCCATTATGTTTGTCTGTGGGTTAGACAAGCTTTCTTTATCTCTGTGAGCACAGGGGCTCAGTTTTTCATAGTTGGCAATAAAATGTTTATGGTTCAGGTTAAATGGGTCCGTTTTTAAATGCGGGAGGAGTTTGTAGCATAGTGATGACAGCAATGCTGGGCACTGCTGGGGGTGAAGCACACTAGTTGCTGCATTGGTTAAACGCCCAAGGCATGGCTGCCTATCCAAAAGACAAGAAGAGGAGATGACTTTGTTAAGAAAAGTCCCCTAGAATGAATTTCTTAACTGGTCTTGATCTTGGAATTGGCTTGAGGAACTGAAGAGTTCCTAGTTCTCATAGCTCAGTTCTCAGGTGAGTGGAGAAGAAATGGACCCAAATTCAAATGAAGAAAAAGCCTGTGCTGCATGTGGGAATTGCATCTCTGTTCCTCACCAGGACAGGATCCAACTCCTGCAGCTTGCAACAGACCACACTACCAGAATTGGAGCTGTAATTAACATTCATAGTCCTCCAGTGCATGCTGCTCAGTGCCTGTCTCCTTGCATTGCTCCAGGTCCACTTAGCACTGGTACTGAGATGCTCAGCCAGCAACAATGCAGCAAAGCTTCTTGCTGTCCAATTGCCAGGAGATTGTTCTACCCTGTGTGCATCCCAGTGCTCTGAGCTGCATTCAGGGAATGTTGCTTACAGAAGTCCAGTTCTGTGCTATGGCTTAGTTCTGGCATGGTGGCAATTACGAAATGCAGCAGGGCCTAAGGGAAAGCAAAAGATCCCAGTCTAAGAGAGGATGTCTGATGCAAAAGAGAGGTGCAAAGCAGCATGCAAAATCCAGTGCACTGGTGACAGTGGTAAGTCTCCAGGAAGGGAGACCCCAGGACCAAGGAGGCGGAAGGGAATAAGGGGTCTGCAAAGACCTGTGAATGGTCTGGGAAATTCCTGCTTGATCTGAATAAAAGCCACTTTGCCCAAATGCTCAGAAAAAAATGTTAATGGACACAATGTTTATAAATTAGATCAGCAGTTTCCCTCATCTGACTATAAAAGTTTTAATGTGCTGCTGCAAGAGCTTATGCTGTCTTTATGGTACAGTCAGACCCGGTTTAGGGTAAAGAGAAAGGGTAGAATTTTGCTGTCTTGTTAATAGGCCAGTGAGG